GTGTGTGTGTGATCCCTCCATGGATTAAGGGGTGTTAGGGAACAGTGACCAGCATCAGTCAGAGTGGATTCAGTCCAGATGCTGCCACACACTCAGACATACATGGCTTACTGCAGCTAATGGCTTGTATTAGTTATGATGCAGGGACATATATCAACCAAAGCCACATGTTAAAGGTTCCCATTGCCATGTGATCCTGTGATATCACGTTATATTATCTTCATGACAACAAGTAATCTCACTGATAAATAACACTGGGAATCAAATACTACTGTAGTTATTATAAGTAATTAGGGAGTAAAGCGACTGAATACAGAGCAAAAAAAAAAAAACAAAAGCCAACAAGGAACGCTGAAGACACTGTATGTCCCGAGTACATTTAAGATGCATCCAGGCAGACTGCCCCTCAAGACCACAAAGTAAAGGCACAGTGGTATGTTTGTTCTGCCCTGGGGGCCTTCAAAGGTGGACCATTTTACACACACAGATGACATGCACAGTCCATATTTCTAGTCCATGTGGTCATAAATTCCAAACTGTATGTCTGTGGATCCACACAAACATAGGTAGATGGTAAATGGTCTGCACTTATAGTGCTTTTCTACCTTACTGGTACTCAAAGCGCTTTACAATGTTTTCACATTCACCCATATTCATCTACCAATGGGAGCAACTTCAGGTTCAGTGTCTTGCCCAAGGACACTTCAACTGTGGCGGGGGATCGAACCACCAACCTTGCGATTAAAGGACAACCTACTCCACCACCTGAGCCACAGCCGTAAATGACAAATTTTACATCACAAAGAACCAAAGAAGTCCAATTCATGCATATTTAACAAAAAATAATAAATTATATTAAAAAGATACGACAGCAAGTTAGTGTTACACTTTCATAAAGTTGCTGGTTTAGACAAGTGACAAAGACAAAAGAAAAACAATGTTTAAAACTGATGCAGCCCTGGCTCTTTTTGGTCAACAACATGATTAACTTTTATACTGTGCATACATGTTGTAAAGGCATGGATTGGGAAAAAAATGAAGAAATGAATGTCTGCTAACTACTGCTACTCTATCACAATTGATGTAATACAGGTAGGAGTCATGTAAGCTTTTACGCTTTTTGTTTAAAGCTCAGTGTTTTTCAAAGCTGCGAAAGAGATTTTGACATTTAATGCCAGGATAAATGTATATGCTGCAATTAGGCACTGATATCCACCATGCCTGAGGAGACAAAAAAAACAGCACCAACAGAAGCTCAACACTCATGTTACTCTTGATCCATTTGACTGGTGTTCATTTGCAACTAGATAGATAGATAGATAGATAGATAGATAGATAGATAGATAGATAGATAGATAGATAGATAGATAGATAGATAGATAGATAGATAGATAGATAGATA